GGGGGGCCTCCCCCGGAGGAAATCGTAAAAATTAGACCCCTAAACATCGTTTTTGGTACATTCTGAGCATCTTTTATGGCAATCTTATGGCTCCAAAATTTACTGTTCGTGCACAAATAATTCCGGAAAAAGGCTGTACATATTAAATTTGTTTGCCCCACTCCGATCGTATTACGCGCGGTCCTTGCGACAGGCTACAAAATGCAGAAAAATAAAGAAAGCATATTTAAATGTCAATTTGATCGAAAACATAATCATTGGGATCTGAAAAAATGTCACAGGTTCGCTTTTTGGAAGTTTTGTTTCTGTTCTGACGGTTTAATTCTAGCGGGGTGCGGTCCATAAATGCGGTCTGCCTATTTACCGGAATACACCGGAAAACACATATAACACGTTAGGAGGCTAAAATCTACCGGAATACACCCTGCTTAGACGAGATAACATCCCAAATTGCTGTGTTTTGCCAATAAATAGCGTGTAAATCGCCGCAGGAACCCGGCAACAAGAAATCATTATAATTTAGCGATCGGTGGAGGCGACCCGACCAGTCGCCATGTTTGTTTACATTGCGGACTACGATGTTTGTTTAGCGCCATCACAGAAGAGAATTGATTATTCAGATTGATGCGGTTCCCATACACAGTGCACACAACTCCGAACTAGTTGGAAGAAAGATAGTTGCATAGGATGCCCCAGCAATTCAGTATGTTATCTCATCATATCAGGGTGTATTCCGGTAGATTTTAGCCTCCTATATGTGTTTTCCGGTGTCTTCCGGTGTTTAACTGTGTTTTCCGGTGTATTCCGGTAAATAGGCAGACCCCATAAATGTCCAATGGAAATTCACCCCGCATCCCGGTACACTGACTTCCGGGTTCCTTGAACAAGAATATTACGAGAAAAAGGCCAAAAATCGGCATAGAGAAATATATATCTTCCCGATAATTCTTTTTATTATGCATTTCTTTAATAGGATGTTGCTAAGTAGTCGCAGAAGAAACGTAGAAAGCAGCGTAAATGTGTCTCTCTTCTCCACCGGCGAAGAAAAATGTTCCCGCGCTGCGTGCTGCTAGCCACATCGCTTATCCAATCAGAACGCAGGTCATGTGAGGTGAACCAATCAGAGCGTCGATCTCGCGGTGCTACTTACTTATTCATGACAAGATGGCGCCCGAAAGCTGTTTTTGGAGCAGCGATGCGGAGTATGCATGTTTTTATTCCGGGGTTTTCTTAGTTTTGACGCACAGTGTGGTTTTGACGCTGATTTTTGGCTCGCCGTGATTACGCTACAAATGACACACTAGTGGAGACAACAAATGAGTGATCATTTTACGATCGACAAGAACTTTTGATGAATGAAAAAGCTGTGAAATCTCGCTGATGACGATTTTCTTTTGAAAATTTGTCTTGTGTTTCT